CTCCTGGAGGCATCTCTGGTTGCAACGAATTAGGGGTAGGCCCTATATAGTTTACCGAATTGAGGTTGTATTGTACATTCAAAGCTGGGTTTTTTATGAGGTGTGTTTCCCCAAGTCGGGAGCCGGTCGGCCGAGCGGACAGCACGCTGGTCTTGTGATCCTGTGGTCCTGGGTTTGATCCCAGGCGCCGGCAAGAAACAATGGGCAGAGTTTCTTTCACCCTATGCCCCTGTTACCTAGCAGTAAAATAGGTACCTGGGTGTTAGTCAGCTGTCGCGGGCTGCTTCCTGGGGGTGGAGGCCTGGTCGAGGACTGGGCTGCGGGGACACTAAAAAGCCCCGAAATCATCTCAAGATAATCTCAAGAAAGTGTCCAATTTCCATGGCACACCTAGCTGGGTTGGATACCCTGCCTTGTGGGAGGGTGGTGGTGTCATATTGATTTTTTGGCATATTCTCTTGCCCCCATGTAAAGGGGTATACACCCATCCCATCATGGTGTCCCCCCCTTTTCCTTTTTTTTAATTTTTCAAGCAGGTAGGCACAAGAGCAGATCATTGGCCTTCTAATGGGTTCCCTAGTTATCTGTATATATCCTTTGGTTTCCAGGAAGGTTGCATTCTGGTTTGCTGTTGATGGATGGGTGGGCTGTGCATTTTGGCTGCTGCCTTTACTGATGTCTTTGGCAGTACTGGCCTTCAGTTCTGGGTTGGGTTGTTTTCTTCTCAGAAAGATCTTGGCCTGTGATGATAGTGAGGTGCTGCACAGAAAGGGGGTCTAATAGCATATAACTTATTACTTTTTCCACTGCATTTTAAATAAATAAATAACCAAAATGGCAGCTACGTTGTCAATACCTGCAACTTTTCAATATTTCAGAATCTGCTCTGGTGCACTTGTCATTTCTTTAGACATGTGCTGGTATTTTGTTTAGCACAATTTAAACCAGCATACGTTCAGTGTACCATTTTATATCCACCTACTTTTCATTTATATTGTACAAGTTAACATTCTCCAATATTATAACATTCCTATTAACACTATCGGTAACTTTGGACAGGACTCGCGTCCATTATTTTTCTCCTGAGTCCTAACTTTGGACCGGACTTGCATCCACTACAAAAAATATTTGTATAAAATTCATTTTTTATCCAATTGACCTCGGGATAGTATCAAAATAAGCGCCTTTAGAATGAGCACAATTTGATACCAAAATGAAAGATGTAACATGAAACTTGATGTCTGAACACTTATACTGTCTACACTCGATCATCCGGACTATATGGGAAGGACCCCCAGCTGGATTAGCACGTTTTTCGGATAATGGTACTTTTTCACCTACGAGTCCAAAACTAACCATTTCCAACAATTTTTATACTACAAATAACATAATTTGAATAGACATGCCACATATAATTAATAAATATTCAACTAGAAACCTCAACTTACCTTTTTGTTGTTCGTCTTCTTGATTGATGACTCATCTTGAAGTTAAAAATTCTTGACAATTTACGTAACTTATAGTAACACAACACTAAAATTAACACTTAAAATTACTGTACAGTTCATTAGGCAAAGTTAGTTCTCACTGTCTGCTGAGGATGCCTCACTGGTTGAAGGCACTTGGGTTGCGTGTGCCGCCTCACTTGTTGAAGGCTCTTGGGTTGCGCGTGCAGCCTCACTTGTTGAAGGCGCTTGGGTTGCGCGTGCCGCCTCACTTGTTGAAGGCGCTTGGTTTGATTTTCGTACCATATATGAATCAAGTGTTGCTTGCCTTCTGTGTTCACTGGCCAGTTGTATGATCAGCTCTTTTGTTCGCCTAAGGTACGGATACATGTTTCCAACCTCTGGATGAGCACAATTTGATGAAAAATTTATTAATCCGTCAACATACGTCATGAGTGTACTGTATTTCGTGGTCATTGGTGTTGGTTCTTCACTGCCTTCTTCATCCTCTTCGTCCACCTCACCAGTAACAGACTGTAGAATCTCGTCTTCACTCATCACACCATATCCTGGATCATTGGCATCTTGTTCAAGCCAATCAACCACATCCTGTCTTTCTAAGTTTTCGCCGGCATTTCTAAACATTCCATGGATTTCATCTGTAAATCCTTCAAAATCCATTTCTTCATTATTTCTGACCGTAGACGTGAGGAGTTTTTTCCAGGAATTTTTCAAAGTCGATTCCTTTACTTCACTCCATACCTTGGCCCAGTTATAGATGGCTTCCTTGATTGTATAGTTCTTCAAATTCTGAAGGTTTTTTTTAGCCCTGTTATCCACACCGAGTTCAATATCTTCCGGAAGAGGCAAAACCACCAAAACTTCGTTTAGCATTTTTTTGGTGTACAACCTCTTCGTAGCACAGATAACTCCCTGATCCATAGGCTGAATGAGAGAGGTTGTGTTAGGAGGAAGTGCCATACACGTTATCTTGCCATCATGTGAGGTTAACGTGTCAATTCTGGGGTGGGCAGGCGCATTATCAAGCAACAGTAAAGCCCGAACTTCGCTTGGCCTTATTTTGAGTTTCTTAATTTGATAGGCACGAACTTCCCTGCAGAACACGTCATGAAACCAGGAAAGAAAGATCTCCTGTGTAAACCATGCATTTTTTGAGTCATAATATTTCACTGGCAGTCTGTCCATGCAATGTTGCAAGGCTCTTGGTTTCTTAGATTTGCCAACAATTGCACACGTGATTCTGTCTGTGCCGTCGGCATTCGCACACATCATGGCTGAGAGCCTGTCCTTGCAAACCTTACGTCCTGGCACACAACCCTCACTCCTCATTGCTAGTTTTTTTTCTGGTGAACTCCTCCAATACAACCCAGTTTCATCTGCATTATAAATTTGATACGAATAAATATTATTTGCCACAGTATATTCTCGTAATTTACATTTAAATGGTTCTACACTGCTTTCATCGGCACTCAGTTTTTCACCGACAATTTTCCTCTTCACAATATTGTGCCTACCCTTGAACCTTGCAACCCACCCTTCACTCACTTCGAAATTCTTTATTCCAAGGCTTGCAGCAAACCTGCTTGCAGCATTTTGTATTTCTGGGCCGCGAATTGTCACGCCAGCTGTGCGGTGCTGAGCAAACCACTTGTACACAGCCTCATCCAACTGCACATGCGTCGAAGTTTTCATAGTTTTTCTAACAAAACCTCTGCTAGTGCTTGCACCTTCACTTTCACACGTTGAAATGAATTGCATAAGTTTCTCTTTTTGTTTCCTTATATCAGAAACAGTACTAGTGCCTATATTATATTCCTTGGCAACACTTGAGGTCGACCGGCCATGTTCACAAAGTTGTATAACACGTAGCTTGTCCTTAAGTGTTAGGACAACCTTCTTCCTCTTTCCACCTCCAGAACGATTCATGCTGCTACCAGACATAGTCTTGGCCAAAAATGTTCAAAGTTACTATGAAAATAAAAAAGTTATTTAAAAAAATATTTCACTAATGGCGCGGCACTGTGGTGTAACACGAGGCTAGAGAGCACATGGCTTGACCAGGCCTGGACGGGTCCACTCGGGGCAGGGAGGAGGCACGTTACGTAGGCCGCCAGGAGGAAAAAAAAAATATATTTTTGAAGGAAACTTCAGCCTGTGCAAATTGTTTTTAGGAAACTTGTATGGAATTTTTTATTGCATAATTACTAGTATTTCTTTTGATTTTGGCTATGATGAATTGTTCTAAAATTGATAGTAATTACTGTACTGTAGTGTATAGGCCACTCCCCATCCTCCCCCTAATCCCCCCAGGTGGTCCCTCCCAACGCTCCCCTCTCTCCCGACACCACCCACCCACCCCACCCCTACCTACACCATGCGCCTCGAGTCTCGGGCAGACGGGATTAATACCGTATGGCCCGCCTCATGTTTTCATATACGGACAAAGGCACGATTATCCAGGGGACTGACCGGATAGTGTAATTTCTGCAGAAAACATGCTTTAATCCGGTCCCTGTGGCTATTTTGGCCGGATATTGTGATAACTTTATCCGTTCACGATTTTGGCCGTATAAGGGCGTTTTTCGGATGTTCGAATCCCGGATAATCGCGGGGTTACAGTATTATTATAAATAGGCTTTTGGTCAAAATTTTAAAATATTTGTTAAAATTCTATTTATTATGCTATTATGTTGGGACTAGTTTTAAAATGCACGCCTTTACGTCGCGAACAATTTGATACCAAAATGAAAGATGTAACACAAAAATTTATGTCAGAACACTGGAAAGATATAAATAATTTTGTGATGATGAGCTTCCAGAATTAAAATATTTGTTAAAATTCCAGTTATTGCTCTATTATAATGGGATTAGTTTTAAAATATGCGCCTTTTTATTGCGAACAATTTGATACCAAAATGAAATACGTAACACGAAATTTGATGTAATCAAACTGAACAAGTATTCACATTAGGTTGCAGTGTACAAATTGGTGCTCGTTCACAGGTAACTTTAGGCTTTTCTGCGGGGAGGCACTCCAGGCTTTTGTACATTATATTCATACACATCTGTAGGGAATTTAATTGTGAACACAATGATACCAAAACGAGCAACGTAGCACGAGAATTAAGGTGAGAAAAATGGAACAAGTATGCACATGTTACTGATTTTGTGCGCTCACGGGTAACTTCTGCCGAATTTAGGCTTTGCTGTTGGGAGTCACGCCAGGCTTTTGGACATTATATTTATACACACCTGTAGGGAATTTAATTGCGAACACAATGATACCAAAACGAGCGACGTAACACGAGAATTAAGGTGAGAAAGCTGAAACGAGTATACACATTAGGTGTCGCCGCACGCTCACCCACACGCTCGGTGCATGACCCCTAAGTTGACCGTGTGCCTGCCCGGTGAGCGATAGTGTTAAGTTTTCCATCTGCATCTGCTGACTTCCTTGTTTCCAAAGAAGCTTCCTGGGATTTCTGTATTTATTAGATGCAAAATCATGTCAGTAATGCAAAAATTATATTACAGGTTCGGACGAGATCGGTGGGCGAGTTAGTACAGTTTTATTATCTCTGGAAGAAAACGGAAAGACATGACCTCTTCGCTACGAAAACAAGAATAGAAAAGAAAAAATACATAGTTCATCCTGGCACTACGTAAGTTTCTAATTTGTTATGACAGCACATTGACAAGTTAGGTGATTGATAGATTTTGTTTTTGCGTTTAGAGGAGGTTGATACTTGGCATCAATTTATATATTTTATGAGTAGCATTCTAATTCAGTATAATAGTCAAATTTGCCTTTGTCTTGGCTTTTTGGCTCCCTGGTATTCTTTAGTCTTTATTCTGCCTACAATGAAGCTTGTATGACTGCCAATGGTTATCCTCTTCATACACCTTTATTGACTGCATGACTTAAACACTTAACTTAAACCTTACTAAAGTTTTGATTTGTGCTTCCTAGTCCCCTGCATACTAGGGTGCTCAGAATATCCTGGTTAGGGATTGACTTAGCTACGACGGGGAAGATAAACTGTGCCAGCTGTAGTGGTATTACTGTAGCTCCTCTCATGATAATTACCAACAATCGCACTGCCATACCTTCTACCAACATCCATACCCCCATACCCACTACCAGTAACCACACCACCATACCCACTACCAGTAACCACACCATCATACCCACTACCAGTAACCACACCATCATACCCACTACCAGTAACCACACCACCATACCCACTACCAGTAACCACACCACCATACCCACTACCAGTAACCACACCATCATACCCACTACCAGTAACCACACCATCATACCCACTACCAGTAACCACACCACCATACCCACTACCAGTAACTACACCACCATACCCACTACCAGTAACCACACCACCATACCCACTACCAGTAACCACACCATACCCACTACCAGTAACCACACCATCATACCCACTACCAGTAACCACACCATCATACCCACTACCAGTAACTACACCATCATACCCACTACCAGTAACCACACCATACCCACTACCAGTAACCACACCACCACCCCCACTACCAGTAACCACACCATCATACCCACTACCAATAACCACACCACCATACCCACTACCAGTAACTACACCACCATACCCACTACCAGTAACTACACCATACCCACTACCAGTAACCACACCACCATACCCACTACCAGTAACCACACCACCACCCCCACTACCAGTAACCACACCACCATACCCACTACCAGTAACCACACCATCATACCCACTACCAGTAACCACACCACCATACCCACTACCAGTAACTACACCACCACCCCCACTACCAGTAACCACACCATCATACCCACTACCAATAACCACACCACCATACCCACTACCAGTAACTACACCACCATACCCACTACCAGTAACTACACCACTATACCCACTACCAGTAACCACACCACCACCCCCACTACCAGTAATCACACCATCATACCCACTACCAGTATCCACACATCCACTACCAGTAACTACACCACCATACCCACTACCAGTAACCACACCACCACCCCCACTACCAGTAACCACACCACCACCCCCACTACCAACAACCACACCACTATACCCACTACCAGTAACTACACCACGATACCCACTACCAGTAACCACACCACCACCCCCACTACCAGTAACCACACCATCATACCCACTACCAGTAACCACACCATCATACCCACTACCAGTAACCACACCACCATACCCACTACCAGTAACTACACCACCACCCCCACTACCAGTAACCACACCATCATACCCACTACCAGTAACCACACCACCATACCCACAACCAGTAACTACACCACCATACCCACTACCAGTAACCACACCACCACCCCCACTACCAGTAACCACACCATCATACCCACTACCAGTAACCACACCACCATACCCACAACCAGTAACTACACCACCATACCCACTACCAGTAACCACACCACCACCCCCACTACCAGTAACCACACCACCATACCCACTACCAGTAACCACACCACCATACCCACTACCAACAACCACACCACCATACCCACTACCAGTAACCACACCACCACCCCCACTACCAGTAACCACACCACCACCCCCACTACCAGTAACCACACCACCATACCCACTACCAGTAACCACACCACCACCCCCACTACCAGTAACCACACCACCATACCCACTACCAGTAACCACACCACCATACCCACTACCAACAACCACACCACCACCCCCACTACCAGTAACCACACCACCATACCCACTACCAGTAACCACACCACCACCCCCACTACCAGTAACCACACCATCATACCCACTACCAGTAACCACACCACCACCCCCACTACCAGTAACCACACCACCATACCCACTACCAACAACCACACCACCACCCCCACTACCAGTAACCACACCCATCATACCCACTACCCGTAACCACACCACCACCCCCACTACCAGTAACCACACCACCATACCCACTACCAACAACCACACCACCACCCCCACTACCAGTAACCACACCATCATACCCACTACCCGTAACCACACCACCACCCCCACTACCAGTAACCACACCATCATACCCACTACCAGTAACCACACCACCACCCCCACTACCAGTAACCACACCATCATACCCACTACCAGTAACCACACCACCATACCCACTACCAGTAACCACACCATCATACCCACTACCAGTAACCACACCACCATACCCACTACCAGTAACCACACCACCATACCCACTACCAGTAACCACACCATCATACCCACTACCAGTAACCACACCATCATACCCACTACCAACAACCACACCACCACCCCCACTACCAGTAACCACACCACCACCCCCACTACCAGTAACCACACCATCATACCCACTACCAGTAACCACACCACCATACCCACTACCAACAACCACACCACCACCCCCACTACCAACAACCACACCACCACCCCCACTACCAACAACCACACCACCATACCCACTACCAACAACCACACCACCACCCCCACTACCAACAACCACACCACCACCCCCACTACCAGTAACCACACCACCACCCCCACTACCAGTAACCACACCACCATACCCACTACCCGTAACCACACCACCATACCCACTACCCGTAACCACACCACCACCCACTACCAGTAACCACACTACCCAGTACCCCACTACCAGTACCACCAGTATACCCCACTACCAGTACCCCACTACCAGTACCCACTACCACCCACCACCATACCCACTACCAGTAACCACACCACCATACCCACTACCAACAACCCCACCACCACCATACCCACCCCACTACCAGTAACCACACCACCATACCCACTACCAGTAACCACACCACCATACCACCACCCACCACCATACCCACTACCATACACCAGTAACCACCACCCACACCATACCCACTACCAGTAACCACACCACCATACCCACTACCAGTAACACCACCATACCCACTACCAGTAACCACACCACCACCCCCACTACCAGTAACCCACCACCATACCCACTACCAGTAACCACACCACCATACCCACTACCAGTAACCACACCACCATACCCACTACCAGTAACCACACCACCATACCCACTACCAGTAACCACACCACCATACCCACTACCAGTAACCACACCCACCCACCCACCCCACTACCAGTAACCACACCACCATACCCACTACCAGTAACCACACCACCATACCCACTACCAGTAACCACACCACCATACCCACTACCAGTAACCACACCACCACCCCCACTACCAGTAACCACACCACCATACCCACTACCAGTAACCACACCACCATACCCACTACCAGTAACCACACCACCATACCCACTACCAGTAACCACACCACCATACCCACTACCACAACCACACCACCATACCCACTACCAGTAACCACACCACCATACCCACTACCAGTAACCACACCACCATACCCACTACCAGTAACCACACCACCACCCCCACTACCAGTAACCACACCACCATACCCACTACCAGTAACCACACCACCATACCCACTACCAGTAACCACACCACCATACCCACTACCAGTAACCACACCACCATACCCACTACCAGTAACCACACCACCATACCCACTACCAGTAACCACACCATCATACCCACTACCAGTAACCACACCATCATACCCACTACCAGTAACCACACCATCATACCCACTACCAGTAACCACACCACCATACCCACTACCAGTAACCACACCACCATACCCACTACCAGTAACCACACCACCATACCCACTACCAGTAACCACACCACCATACCCACTACCAGTAACCACACCACCATACCCATTACCATCAACCACACCACCATATCCACTACCAACAACCACACCACCATACCCACTACCAATAACCACACCACCACCCCCACTACCAGTAACCACACCACCACCCCCACTACCAGTAACCACACCATCACCCCCACTACCAGTAACCACACCACCACCCCCACTACCAAGTCCACACCACCACCATACCCACTACCAGTAACCACACCATCATACCCACTACCAGTAACCACACCACCATACCCACTACCAGTAACCACACCACCATACCCACTACCAACAACCACACCACCACCCCCACTACCAGTAACCACACCACCATACCCACTACCAGTAACCACACCACCAAACCCACTACCAGTAACCACCACCACACCCACACCATAACCACCCACTACCACTACCAGTAACCACACCACCATACCCATTACCATAACCACACCACCATACCCACTACCAACAACCACACCACCATACCCACTACCAGTAACCACACCACCATACCCACTACCAGTAACCACACCACCATACCCACTACCAGTAACCACACCATCATACCCACTACCAACAACCACACCACCACCCCCACTACCATCAACCACACCACCATACCCACTACCAGTAACTACACCACTATACCCACTACCAGTAACTACACCACCATACCCACTACCAACAACCACACCACCATACCCACTACCAGTAACCACACCACCATACCCACTACCAGTAACCAACCCACACACCACACCCCCCCACTACCAGTAACCACACCATCATACC